ACATTATTTTTATACAAAAGTCTTAGAATAGAAAACTGTGGGACGAATGCAAAGTTGGTCTGAATGTCATCAACACAAAAACCTACTTCAGATGGCTGTCAGTGTTGGAACACATGAGAAAGGTTCCAAATGACTTCTTCTGTTCTCCTATTAAATCCCCCTAATAACTGTCAAATGATTAATACTTTCCAATATACACAAAAGAAAAACCATGTCAGGTTGTTCCAGTATCCCGCAGAAGGCATCGTGATCACTAGGAACCCTTTAAAATTAAAAACTAGTTTTCAGTTCAGATGTGTGTAGAAACCAGGAAGCTCCACGATATTAATCCCAGTTTAACTCTAAAAACAGCTGATTTTAAAGCAGGCAACAATAAAAAGGCAGCAGAGAAGTAACACATTAAAACCAGTTCATGTTTGAGGTTTAAATCTCATGAGTGACCGCAGAGTGATGAGCTTAGCTCGTCCTGATGCTAACATGTTTAGCTGCTCTGCAGCGCCTCCCAAAGACGATTCAGGGACTTTAGTGTTTTACCGACATTTCTGGTGTCCGGTAAAACACCTGAATATGAAGCTAGAGCTCAAACAAACACCTTTGATGAATTATTCTCTCTGTGTGTCTACATGTTCAGGGTTAGCATCGTTAGCTCACATGCTAACGGTTCGGACTCACTGTTCGATCCTCGGGTTGTATTTCTTAATAAACTTCTTCTTCAGCTTCTTCCGGTCTCTGTTATAGTCGAATTTCTGTCTCTTGCTTGACTTCTTTGCTTTCGGCATGTTTGTTACTGGGTTTTTTTACGGCTCCGCGAAGGTTTGTTAGTGATCTGAAGCTAACAGGACGCCAACAGACTCTACATGCAGCCAGAAGACACGTGTGTGTTTACATCCGGTCATGTGACTAGAAGCCACGCCCTCTTTTCCGCCTTTGACCTCCGATTCGACTTTTTTTGTCTTTACGTTTCTTTTTTTCCCTTAACTGTAAAAAAAAAAAACAAAACGTGACTACGTGACACAATGCAAAATATAGAAACACAAATATGCCTTAAATCAATAATAATTCTACCGATAATAATATATATAATTACATATATTTATACTATGCTATCCACTAAAAATAACAACTTCATGGTGTTATATAAATGCACATATAAAACATATATATATAAACTGATACAGTAGGGTTCAGAATAAAAACAATATATAAGCCACCATAAAAATCTAATCAAACTACTTCACTCTGATCTCATAAACAGACTGTATATAGACATATACGCATCGTCCATGAATTAATATTGCAGCACTGGTATATGCTGCAAGGTGGCGCAGTGGTTAACACCGTCGCCTCGCAGCTAGAGGGTCGCTGTTCGCGTCCACCCGGGATCTTTCTGCGTAGAGTCTCCATGTTCTCAGTGTGGGTTCTCTCCGGGTTCTCCAGCTTCCATGTCCAAAAACATGTTGAGGTTAATTGGTGATTCTAAATTGTCCGTAGGTGTGAATGTGAGTGTGCTTGGTTGTCTGTCTCTAAGTGTAGCCCTGTGATAGACTGGTGACCTGTCCAGGGTGTCTCCTGCCTTCACCCTGAGTCAGCTGGGATAGACTCCAGCCCCCCACGACCCCACTGAGGATTAAGGTGTATAGATAATAGATGGATAATATATGCATAGCAGAGCTGAAATGATTATTTACTGATATGATGAGTTAACTGACAAAGAAATAACTAGCAATAATTTTTATAATCAATTTATCATTTTAGATCATTTTTCAGGCTTCAGTGTGTAAAATATAACTCGTTGTGTTTGATGGCATTTAAAAACAAAACGTGTTCTCCTTTGTTATGCTTTAAAAACATAAACTGTAACACATTAAACAAATATGCAAACTACATAAACAAGCACATATCATGGTTGTGTATATGCCTAAAATGAACATGGACATGCAAGAAAAACATGCATATTTAAAAAAAACAAAAAAACAAAAAACAAATGTTGTGTTTTGACATTCACAGCTAAATAACATGAAACATCTAAAATGTGCATTCATCAGATGTGTTCCAATAATAAATAATGATAATAATAATCAGCACGTCGCTAGTGTTACATAAGACAAACATTAAAAATACAACAACAACAAAAGAAAATCCACCCTTTTCCTGTTGTTTTACTGGACAGACAGATCCTGAGAAGATGAAGCTCCTGCAGCTGCTGATCTAAACCTCTAGATGTCAGTCTGAGTCAGGAAGTGTTTCACATCAGGGTCAGATAAACTCCACATCATCTTTACTTTAATTAAAACTGCACTGAAAGCTTTGTGCTTTGTCTGCAACATCTCGCACTAAACTCAGTTCATTTATTTCAGTGATTTGTTTCTCTTTCCAACTAGTTCTTATTCATTTAGTGTCTGCAGTAGTTTTTATATTGTGAATATATCAAATTGGTATTAATTTCACGTTTAGATTTCTACTGAAGAACATTTACTTCTTCTACTTTTTCTTGAATGCTTCTGATGTTCCAAATATTTTACACTGACTCTGTGAGGAAACACTAAGAAGGCAGAACTTCATGTCTATTTTTAAAAATTAAAAACCATTAAAGAGATTAATAAGCTCAAAACTAAAGAACACGGATAACGTTTTGCTAATCTTGGCATCTAAAGGTCTCCAAATATATTCACAAATATTAAAAAGGAATGATATTACTTCAGACAAATATTTCAACAACCATATTTACATTTTTACATAAAACAATAAAACTTCACTGAATTAGGTATTTAAAGTGAACGAACCTCTTTTTGTTTTCGATGTGTCAAATGTTTGGCTGATAATTTTCAGTTGAAACACTGCAATTTTACATAAATACAGATTACAGCTGCACAAAGGATAATTTTTCATAACAGACGAGTGAATTTAAAGATACGATTTTTCTCTTCTATCATCTGCAAAGCTTTTCACCATCAACTCTAAATCTATACTCATCATAAAACGGATTCACTGATGTATTTAAAACATTCCTTAGTGATAATAAAGACGTGTTATTCAGAATTAAATTCCCCTTTTCAAGTTAGTATTTGTATTATCAACTGATTTATTTCCAGTGAAAGCAGGTTTGTGTCCAGCAAGATTCAACAAGGCACTGATGCTGATCAATACCTCTATCAGCTCTCTGCTATCATCGGCCTGCACGAGGAAACGCTGGACATCTTTCTTAATGCACCTTTAATGCACTGTGGTGCTGATTTCATCGATTCCTGCAGAGAAATCCACTTTGTTCGCAGCGAGAGACGAACCACAGGGAGCAGCTCCTCTGGAGTCTCTGATGCATTGATCTCTTGATTTGTAACAGCGCATCAATTCTAATTGATACGTCCATCGACTGCCGACAGCCTTTTTGGCCCCAGCGAGGAATCGTGATTCATTTATGGTGTAACTTTTGCAGCTCAGGCCGTTGGTATTGACGAGATAATTACTGCAGCACTCTGGAAGTGAAATCAATTCAGTGATTAGTCCAATCATAGGAACTAAAACAGCAGAAAATTGGGAACAGATTGTTTATTTAAATAATGTTTAAGGAAAAATGCTCCAAATTGACCTCAACCAGTCTCCTAAACATGAAATACTAGACAGTGAAAAAGCAAATAACGCTTAGATAAAAGTAAAGACAAGTGAACAAAGGAGGAGTAACTGAAAGCAATAAATAATGATGATATTAATAATTACCTATAAGTCAAACATTGTTTTGGTCTTCACAAAAACAATCTCTTACCTCAGTATCCTAAAAGTAATACTGAGGTAAATGTAATGGTGTATAAATGCACGTCTAAAACAAATAAATGGCTCGATAAAAGTAATAGAATAAATGGTTCGCTACAAGTAATAAACAGTTAGCTAAAAGTAATGGTTTAATAGTTAGCTAAAAGTAATGAAAAAAGCTTGATAAAAGTAATCGTGTAATAGTGTAAATTTGTAATTTTTTGACAAATACAATAAATGGATAGCTAGTAATGCCATAAATGGCTAGCTAAAATCAATAAACAGTAAATTAAAAGTAATGCTATAAATGGTTAACTTAAAGCAATAAACAATGAGCTAAAAGTAATAGTGTAAATGCTTCGCTAGCACTGATTAACGGTTAGCTAAACAATTGTTGGCTAACAGTAATAAACACTTGGCTAAAAATATTGATTAAATGTAGGAAATAGTTAGTAGTAATGGTTTAAATGGTTAGCTACAAGTAATAAATAGTTAGCCAAATGTAACAGTTTAAATAGCTAGCTAGTGTTAATAAACAATTAGCTAAAAGGAATGATTTTAAATAGTTAGCTAATATTAATAAACAGCTAGCTTAAAGTCATGGTTTAAATAGTTAGCTAACATCAATAAACAGTTAGCTTAAAGTGATTTAAATAGTTGGCTAATACTGATAAATAGTTAACTTAAAGTAATGGTTTACATTGTTAGCTAATATTAAAAAAAGTTAGCTTAAAGTGGTTTAAATAGTTAGCTAGCATCAATAAACAATTAGCTAAAAGCAATGATTTTAAATAGTTAGCTAACATTGATAAACAGTTAGCTTAAAGTAATGGTTTACATAGTTAGCTAACATTAATAAACAGTTAGCTTTAAGAAGGTTTAAATAGTTAGCTAATAATAATATACAATTAGCTTGGTTTACATAATTAGCCAATATGAATAAACAGTTAACTGAAAGAAATGATTTAAATAGTTAGCTGTAAGTGATAAACATGCTTCAAGTAATTAAGGCTTGAGTTAACATTTATGTATTTAAGTTATAGTTAAAAATGAACTTTCATGCTCAGGATTTTTTCGTTTAAACAAATCTTCCACAGCACTGGACAGAATAATTAGCACCCAACAGCCTTCTGTGGCCCTGAAACATCAGCAATGACTAAATCTGAGTCAAATACAAATTTAACTCAGATTTTAGTGATTTTAAACCAAATACATGAACTGTAGCTCATAAAGGGGGCAGGAAACATGAGCAGAGTGAGACGTCTGTCGGTGGCGTGTGTTTTATCAAACCACGTATTTGTTTTTTTAGCGGAGTGAGACGTCTGCGGCTGTTGCTGCTCTCTGGGCGGAGAGATGGAGGAGGAGGAGGAGGAGGAAGAGGAGGAGGAAGAGCGGAGGAGGGCGCGGACTGTCACCGGGCCGAGAGCTACAGCGGAGGGTTGAATTTTTCCTCCGTGGCCGGGCGGTGGGAGGAGGTGGCGGACGGTGTTTAGGGAAGGATAAAGTGCGAGAGAAGCCGCCGGGGGGGACCAGGAGCTCGGCGTGGCGCTGCTGCCGGGAGCCGCTCAGCATCAACATGGAGCTGGAGAACATCGTGGCCAACACGGTGCTGCTCAAAGCACGGGAAGGTAAGGATGGAGACGGCGGGCTGACAGCTCCTCTCTGCCGGGCTCTCACCGACACGGCACCGGGAGGGATGACAGCAGCGATACGAACCGTTCCTGCGCTTCCTCTTGGCCGCTGATCAAATCTTTTGGTGATGCTAGCAGGACGTTCTCTCTCGCGTGCAGAACTCCATTCGCAACTTGAGCGATTTAAAGTTTTCCGCCACAACATTGAGCCTACTGTGTTTTTAAAGGGGGTCTGAAGATCTTACTGAACTCTTTAGCAAACAGTGACCAATTCGGCACCAAACATTTAAAAATAAATCTCTTAATTACAGTAAAATCTCTTCCTTCCGTGTTCAGGGTGCTCGCTGTTCAGTAAACTGTCAGTAACTCGGTTACAACACGCTCCCCGCCTTCTCAAACTAGACTCTGATGATGTTTTCCAGTTTGCTGAAGTTATATATTGTTTATTAATGTATGCCGAACTTAAAAGTCAGACCTAAACAGTCGTAGAAGCGTTGTGTTTGTCGTGTACACTGCGTGGACACGATTGCAATCAAACGACTCGCAAAATCGACACATTTTCTAAAGGAGTTTGGCGCGGCGGCGATCATGAACATGAAAAGAGGTCCGGAAGAGCTTGCAACTGAATCGCGGCTGCAGCGACACAGCGGGTTTCCCTTCACTGATGTTGCAGCATCGTCCTGTAGTTTGCGAAACAGGATGTTGAGGCAGAGCAGCTGTGCTGTACTGGAGTTTGTGCACTCAACTGATTTCACTGTTCCTGCCATTAGAATGACTATCAGCAGAGCAGCCCAGGGTCTGGAAGTTTTCATGGATACCTGTGGATCACAACTCCAGGGGGGATGTCTTTAATCTATCAGCTCTTGTACCTAATAACACTCTTGAATACATCGCAGACAGACATCCTCAGAGGCCTTTGTCACTGTGAACCGGAGACAAAAGGTTGCGGTGACTCGTTGCCGACATAATCCTGATGCCGTCTGCAGGGGACTCGACAACACGAGTGTCGGGATCCTGAGAGCTTATCTGCTCAATTAAGCTCATGTGCTGCACTCATACAGCAGCAGGATTTGAGTTATGCCCACGTCACGCCTCCTGACCTCTGACCTCTCTGGATGTCATCTAAACTCAGAACGTAGTGACAAGACCCGGTTGGATTTGGACCCAAAACATTCTGCGGTTAGTGCAAGTTTGCAGGAAGTTAAGCAACATGCAGGCAGAGTTATGCCAACCGAGAATTACACAAACTCACAGCTTCATTCATGTTAAATTACCAGATTATTAAAGGTGCAATCCCCTCATTTTTAGACTTTTCTTCACACATGAATCAGGGTGTCTCTGTAGGACGTCCCTCACATGTGTTGTGCTTTGTTGGAGCTTAACCGCCTGTTTAATCCATCGTAGAATAAAGCCTAAAAATGGCAAATATATTTAATATATTAAAAAAAAAACATACTTGAGTTTAATATGGATAAAAATCCAAACGTGTAGGAAGGAAAAAAAGCAAAATATGGGAGGATGGAGTTGAATAATTAAAATAAAAACACAAGTTGAATTAGTGACGCAAATTTCACAGAATAAGTCAAACTGAAATACCCCACAAAGAGAAGAAAGTAAAAAAAAGAAACTTTTCAAAATGAAACTGAATAATTAAAGTCAGATAAACCAGCTGTCTTCAGCTTCCTCCTAAACATGGATTCATCTTTAAGCTTCTCTCTGACGTATTTTGGGTTCAGTCTTCTCACAAACGTACAGACAAAAGTTAAGGCCTTAAATTCAAACCTGTGTGTTCTCTCTTCGCTCTGCTCCCAACGCTCCTTCAACGTTTGTGAAGCTCCCACAGAATCCTGTTGTATTAACTCACCTGCGCTAAATCTGATAAACTGCCAAAACAGCGACTCTTCCATTTGAGTTTCATGTTCGGGACGAGGTTTAAGTCGATAGATTTGTGGAGCTGGGCAGCTGACGAGTGATGATTTTGAAGCTAGCAGCTCTTCCGCTGTGCTGCTTCTTCTCTTGGTGGAACAGCTCTAGTGACGGATGCTGTATCCTCCCGGTCTGTTCCCGGTGAAACTGCAAGTCCTCATGCTGACTGTGCAGGAATCCTGAGCAGGAGAGTTGCTGCTTGCACCTCTTGCATTGCCGAGTCGCTCTCCGCTCACGTGCAACAAATTTGGACGGTTTTTTTTAACACACTTGCAACTTTAATAGGTTCAAAACTCCTTATGGACGCTAGCGGAGCAGCACGAGCTAACAAAGACCTCAAGGTTTTCCGACTCTGACCTCCAACGCTCTAGTTCTCTGTTTAGACAGTTTCTGGTTTAAGTCTGGGTAACTTTAGCGCGTGATTTACAGGGTTTCTCCTGCGCAGAGGGATTTTTTTCCCCGATTTCTATCACATGAGGTTAAACAGAGACGTTGCTTTTAGTTTTCGTGGGTCGATCACTTGTTTTAAATGTCGACCTCCTGCTAAGCCACTGAGCAATCAGCTCATTTCAACGTGTCTGGGAAGTCGAATTTGTTCATCTGCAGAAGGAAACCCTCGATGTTATCCATCACATTTGAGTAAAGACAGAAGTTAGTCGCTCGTCTGGTGGATTTTAAAGATAAACCGCTGCTTTGATTTTGCACCACAGAAGCCGTTTCAGATGGCGCTAAAGTTTCAGGCTGTTTGGCGCCATTAAATCAAACAGCGTTCGTGACTGTAAATGTCAGAGAAACGGTCTCTAACTTCCTGCAGCGCGACTCGAGGAGTTCAGATTTCAGTCGCGGCTTCTTTTTTTCCTCGTATTCGTTCCCCGCAGACGTTTCTTCTGCGGTCTGGTCCAACATTTGCATGAAGACACCAGCTGCACGTCGCCGCCTCGGCTCGTGTACATGCAAACAGCAACAGCAGTAATTCACTGTTTTCTTGTCTTTTTATTTTACGATAAAAGTCGATGAGCTGCAACATCAGCTCATTGTCCTGGACTCACAGAAGCTCTTTTATGATCCAACAACAGAGATAGTCATCGATGAGCTGAGTTTATGTAAAAAAAAATCTGCATCTCGTGCTTGTTTTTGCTGTTTTCTTCTTAATTTGCAATTTTTCCGACAAGCTGATCGTCACAAAAACTGCAACAATCTGCATGTTTCAGTCAGATTTGATCAGATTTTTGGTGATTTTTGAGAAGTTTGAGTTTAAAAGCATCTAAAATGATTCAATATTAGCGCTCATATCTCTTGGTAGTTAGAATAGTCGTAAGAATTAGCGTCAACGAGCCTGTTCTTCTGCCACTGCATCGCTTTATTAACAATATTCAGCTTTTAAACGTTCCAACAACATTAATAGTAATCAATGAGCGAGTTGAGCTGAATTAATGTAGGAAAAAATCAGCATCTCGTGTTGATGAATGTTGTTTTCTTCAGATGTGATCAGATTTGTAGTGAGTTTAAAAACATCCAAAAGTATTCATGATCCTGCTTTTTTCATCACTTTAATTTGAAAAATGAGCATCAATAGAGATGTTTTCCTGCCAGTGCCTTGTTTTATGAACATGAAGGTATCTGATGAGTTCGCAGAGTTGAATTATTGTAAAAATGGGTTCATATGGAGGCAGAATAGGCAGAACTGCAATGATCTGCATGTTTTAGTCGGATTTTAAGTGAGTTGTGACACGTTTAAGTTTAAAAATATCTAAAAATATTCTATATTCGCGCTCGTATCTCATAGTCGGAGCTTTACTGAGACTCATATTGTGCTTTTCTCCAACACTTTACTTCTAAAATGAGCATTAATGAGCTTGTTTTTCTGCCAAAGCATTGTTTTATTAACTAAATTCAGCTGTGAAATAGAGCTGGATAGTATCTGGTAGTCAGTTGAGGCCAAAGTTAATCAACAGCTGTCTTGGTAATTAAATAATATAAAAACAAATCAGCATCTAGTGTGAATTATTGCAGTTTTTTGCGGCTTTGACGTGACTGTAAATGTGATATCTTTGAGTTTTAAATGCCTGACTTGGAGAACGAGCGATAATTAGCTGGTTTTTCTTCACAATCGGGCTCTAAAATGAGGTTTTTGAATGTTTTGACGATCACAGATAGTAACTGATGAGTTCATTGAGTTGAATTAATGTTAAAAAAAAATCAGCTTCTAGTTGTTTTATTGCAAAAAAATGTAATTTTAAACGCGTGAGAGGACGATGCGTCTTATTTTACACGTTGTGCGTTTACTTAAATGAAAAACTGTGTGACTTAAATCAGAAATACGTTTGGATTTCTACCAGAGAGAGACTCTGACAGCTTCTCCGCCGCTGCTTCGTCGTTCAATCTTCATGTTTAAAACAAAAAAAAAAAACACGTTATTGTGTTAAAGTTGGACAGACACTGCTGCCATTTAGTGTGTCGGAGGCCTCGCTCCATCATGTGGATGTTATTTCTTGTTTATTCGATGTACTCTGGGTGTATTTTTATTACTGCCCTGATGGCATCGTGGGTCTGAATAACGTCAGTCTGTAGTTCAAAGCCATTAAATGCAAATAAACATCCATAAAAAGCCGAATAGCTTGTGACTGAACTTGAAAAACATCCTTTTTTATTTAAAAGTGCCAATAATGTGGTAATATTGATGATATTCTGTTAATTTAATGGTTTTCTGTTGTTGTCATTTGAGGTATTTAAACAGTTTGATCCACTTTAGAACATTTTTAAAGCAATCTGACCTTCTGTTGTCTAAAAATAAAACCTTTAACATTTAGTTGATGGACTCAAGACTTGCTGTTGCTGTTTGAAAATTGTGTTTATTAAGGATTTAAAAAATGGCAAATCATTTTATGAACACTCATTTTGTTAAATTACAGATCATTTCTAGTAAAATCCCAGAAAAAAATATTGTTTTACACATTAATTCTAAAAAAAGACCAAAACTGTAAATAATATTCACTTCAAAACGTGTATTTCTATAAAATCTAATTTGTTTTTTCACCATTTGTGTCCATAAAATTTTAATATTTCAATCA